AGAAATCCCATTAACCAAACATCATTTGAGTGCCTTAATGGTGTCCGAATTAAACGATCTTAGGCTTGTTCGAATTGTCTTGTTGAGACGTTCGATTAGACCGTATGCTTGCCAATTCAGTGTCCGTTAGACCTTTCAATTTTGTCTGAAAAGCTTCTAAAGTGGTTTAATTGCTTGGTATAAACTTGTTTTGAGTCAGATTGAACCGATTACAATATTGTTGTGTCCGTCTTATTGAGCCGGTCAATTTAACGTTAAGTTTGCTGAAATTAATATTTTGAATGACTTTTAATCAAAATTTAAACTTCTCATATTAAAAATTTATTTTACAAATATATGTCATTTTGGAGGTTCTTTGTCAACTAATAAAACTTTATTAAAGATGCATCACTATATACATAAATCACATTTGATTTAAAGCAAGCACCCACATCCTTGACAGCAAATCTTCCAAATAATTAATATATACACTCCTCCATTGACCTTCTCTTCCCACTTCTCCTCATTGACTTCCCTGCTGCTTCTCTGGTTTTTATCAATCATTCCATGTACATCAAAATCCGAAAGCTGTTGTCCCGTATGCATAGAAGATATCGCGCATGAGTTTGTAACTGAAATAGACAAATAAAATAATAATTTATTATTAGCTCAATGAAACAAGCAGTATTTCTTGTTTTACACATTACGAAAAATTTTGCAGTAAAAAGTCCGAATAGTAGTCCGACTGTTAGCCTTGATTTTTTATCATAATCCAGCTCTGACCGAGTATCCCTAAAAGCCAGGATTAATAATATTAACTGGGCATAGCCTTAGCTACTTGAATTTCTTTCTTTTTTTTTAGCAATAACAATCAAAAGTCAATTTACATATGCATTATATATATTTAATATAAAGTTGCATTAAAAATCATATTGCCAAATTCCTATATCTGCAGAAATTCCACCCAAATATTTCTTAAATAAAAAATATCACTATTTTAATTTTTCAAAGATAAAATATACCTTTTTCATCTATTTACATGGCACATTGACATCTATCTAAAAATTGAAAAATTGATGTTAGATACGTAAAAACATAAGAATTATACAATTTGTTTGTAAATCTTCCAAATATAAAACCTAATAATATCAAAATATAAATCTGTATTTTATTTTAGAAAAGTTAATATTAACTATTTTTTACATATTAATAAATGGAAAATTTTCAAAAATAGTATTTACTTTATTTAAAAAAAAATTTAAGAAGATTTATTTAGAATTTTATAAAAAAATATTATTTTAAAAATTTTATCATTAATTAACATATAAACACAAGAATTAACAGGGAGCCACTTCTCTTTCTTGCAACACAATCCAACGTGATGGGAATCTACCCTCTAGATATTCACCTGTTATTCTTCTTCGCACACGGAGAAGCCTTGTCCGTTCTCACTTTTCCTGCATTCTCCATATTCTTCGCCACTTTCCCACATGGACTCGTCTTTGCCTGCCGCACAGCCAACTTACTACTCTCAGGGATCGAAACGAGCGATGGCTTCCACGTTGTCGTTGAAACCCGGCCAGAGGTTTTCCTTTGCCTCCGTTCCTCCTGCGTGGCTGAAGCAAACGGCCGTGAATCTGTAAAATCTACCTGCAGGCAGCCGCAGCGCACTACCTCGAAAAGCCCCATTGTTATTTACTTGTTTTCCTGTTTGGATCTCAAAATGCTTCCGGTTTCCTTAAAAGCCTTGGCTGGCATAATGGAAAGACGATAAGGCCCTGCCAAAAATGACTTGCTTCTTCGCAGAGCAACTCGTGCTCATGGTTTATTGGACATTTTTTTTTATTTTGGCTCATTTGAGTAAATATCAGATATGTTTTAAATTTGTCATTTTGTTAGGTTTGATGGCTTCGGGATGATTAAAATCTCAAGTTAAATTAATTTTTAATTGCATCAAGGCAAATCATTGGATATAATTAATTTTACATATCTAAATGGTGTAATTTGTATTCAATTAAACGAACGTTGTCTTATTCAAATTAATTGGAGAAATTATTGCGTGCGGCATGCATTTTCAATTAAACGAACGTTGTCTTATTCAAATTAATTAGAGGAATTATTGCGTGCGGCATGCATCTTTACATGCGGTGTCCGATCCTGACCGTAGATCACGGTGATCTACGCTCAGGATTATTTCCATTTTTTTTATAAAAAAAAATTAGGTGGGGCCCACCGAAATACATCGGGACCGTAGATCAGGTGATCTACGGTCCGGATTGGACACCGCACGCAGCTACGCAAGCTGCGTGCACCGCACGCGTGCAGTGTCCGATCCGTATGGAATAATTTTTCAATTAATTGAGGTTGATCATAAGAAAAAAAATTATTAAATAAATTAATAAAAGTGAGTCAAATTCATATGTGGCTCAATGACACCTATGATTATTTAAGTATATACATATAGGATATTATATTTGGGTGATTTGCGCGCTGGTGATGACAAATCAATCAAACTTTTTTAGTTTGTATAAGCCAAGAGCATCAAATATTTACAAATAAAAATAACTAAAAACGCCAAAGCGCCTACCATTTACAAAAAAAGTCTGATGTGAGTGCCCCAAGGACAAATTCAGCCAAATGAAGCACAAGAAGGAACTTTGGTGTCAAAGGATTAGCAAGCAATCTCTTGATTAAAATGGATGATATGCAATGCGGTGATACACGTGTTAATAACATAAGTATACATATCGATTAAGCAACAATCATATTTCTGAGTTCGAGTTATAGATCCCATTAGAAATATTATTATTTCTTGAATTAACATAATTTATAGTCTACTAATCTTTACTTTAATTCAAATGTTTATGATTTTGAAAGATTTGTAAAAATAATAATTTTAATGTTGAAATCTTAAAGTATGGTAAATAAGTTTTTAATGATTTTAAAATTTTCTCTTATTGTAGTTGACAATCATGGACTAGTACATCTTTTTTTTTAGATAAAACAAATATTAGAGCTTCATATTATGGTAAAGTTTTCTTAACCCTATAAAAATTCCAAGGAATCCTCTGTCCCCTAAGAGATTATAAACATTTAATGATACTATTCATATTCTACTAAACACATGATCTAGGTTAAATCCTAGATTATGTGATTTAACCATTCAAATAACTTGTTTGAAGTTTAAATAACAAATTGAATGTTAAAACATCAACATATTCATCTGTTAAGAATCTAACATAGACTTCACTAAAAACTTTATAACCAATTTAAAGAAGAAAAGTATATAAATACTACCCATAAGTGAAAAATCAAACATGAAATTTGTTATAATAAAAAATATTTTACAAAGAAAAGGAGAGAAAAATTAGGAAATGGATCCTTACTCCCAGCTGCATGCTTCTCCCAACTTGATCTTCTCTTATCTTTTACATTGCACTCACACTCACATCTACCACAAAGAAATAAAACCCTAGCCTAGAAAACAAGAAAATACAAATGTTCCAACTCTCTTCTCGTTATCACAAGGCTCATTTTTATATAAATTTTGCCCAAATCATGACCGAGCTACTCAAAATGAAGTATATCGGTGACGAGCGCCGAGGTGCTAATAGGTAAGAATGTAGAGCTCAACTTAGATGTTCAAGCGTTGCTCATTGGATTTGCCTTTAGTGTCTCTCATACAAAAAATTAAGGTTCGAGCACAATGGTGTTGCTATCTTACCGGATGTGATGGCGAGGATCTTGATTTAGACATCACAATTTCCTGCTCTTGGGATTTTGACTCAAAAATGTTCCATTTGTTTGCTAGGGCGGTGCTTCTATGATACAAGGTACTTTCGAGCTAGCGTTGGGCGCTATGTATTAAGCATTGGGTCCCAAGAAAAAGCTATAATTATCCTAAGAAAATGATGTGTTTTAACTTTATAATATAAACATAGAAAACATATACAATCGAAAAGCTTTAAAATGACACAAAAATATAAAGAAAATTACCTTATCACTGCACCATATTTCACTCTTTTCGTGTTCTTTTTAACCCACACATTACCTGCCCTTAATTAATGATATATCTGATGACCAAAAAATTACCATGAAGTAAGTCAGTCAATCACTCGAGTATACATGTCAAGTAATATGTTGTCTAAGAGTCTACGTATCGATCCCACGAGGATAATCCCAAAATATTTCTAATATGCAAAGTTTTAATTTTTTGAGCCGCTAAGTCTAGTTTAAAGTGATGAAATGTTAAAAAGAAATCTAACAATCTTAAACATGCAATAAACATAAATGGTATAAAAAAGTATGGAGTTTTTAGATAAGGAAGATTCATACTCCTGTGACTTCAATGAGAAAATTTCTTGAAGTCTCCCATGGAACCCATGCCTTTGTAGAAAATTAGAGATACAAATTTTCTCCTTAAGCCTACGCCTTGGTCTGAAGAAGAATAAAAGATCCATAATATTAAGTTTTGCTTAACCCTATGATATTTCCTAGAATTCTTCAGATTTTCTTAGTTACAAAATCCTAATAGAATATACTTATCCTATAAAGATTTTGTGGTAAACCCATTTGCTCCTTTATGTGATAGGCAGAAGTCATATATCATGAAAAAGTATTAACATTATTTTTGCATCATTAAGAAAGTAAATTACGATCAGAAGGTTAACACATCAACATCATAAATTAATGCATCAAAAGGCGTAGTGGAAATCATAAATTCTATAAAATTAAACCACAAGAAAACCACATGTCGTACATCACAGGAGCATGAAATAAAGTCAATCACAATACATGAGAAAAGAAACAACAAACACATGTATTGCAGACTGATGTGTAGAAAAGCATGCATAATTTCATTTATATTTTTTGCATATTTTTATGAATACAATAGCATTTTAAAGAATGGTATTTTTATATTTTTCTTGCTGTACAACAGGTAGTTGTTGATGGATTCTTTTTGTTGAAAATAAATTTATTATAATTATATAATTTTAAAAAATAGTATTACAATTTTGAGAAATAAATGAGACCGAACGGGTCTCATATATCTAATAGTTTTGATAGTTGAGCGTAATACCACAAACAATACGCCACCTTGAGAGATAAATATATGACTTATTAGTAGGTTTATCTGTCAAACTAAGAAATTTATGACATTCGTTTAGTCTGTAAATTTTGTGATCGATAATTCTTCTATCTAATAGAAAGATTAGATATGGTTTATACTACATGGGTTTCTAATTTCCTATAAAGGCAGGCATCTATAGTTAATTATATCTTAAATGATTGAAGTCATATAACAAAACTCTCGATAATGATCAGAGGTCTTGTCTTCAAGAATTTAAAGTTATGTTTTCACAGTTAGACTTGAGAAATTCAAGTAGGAAGGGCTCAAATATGAACAATTGTCTTGGGAAACTAAAGAAGCGAAGGGTAAGGAATGTCAACGATTATGAAGAGAACCTCAGTGACTTCCCAAGTTATCCTATTGTTTGGCTTTACATTTTGGAAGTGAAGTTATTTAATGTTTACTTCTGCCAATTATTTAAAATTAGGGTTTACACTTGCATAATATACAATCATGCAAACAACCCAGGAAGATGAGAGGTTTGCATTGTACCAAACGAACAACTTTGAAATCCTAAAAAAGAGGAAGGGCTTATATCGCTCAGCATACAATCGTGCGAAGGCCTAGAATATGGTGTGACGATTTACATCATTCTTGATGAACAAACTCAAAGTCCTAATGACTTCTGTTATTTAAAACTAAGAAAAGATTTTGCTGAGGTAGATATGTTCACTGTTGAGTTCTGACCGTCATATGAAGTCATCCTCCATGCAGCTTGTTTTGAACCCTTTATTGTGATGGTTTCAGGTTTAGGGTTTATGTTTGAACTTGAGATTATTTTTGGGTCTCAGGTCTTGTCGTAAGGTTTCTCCTAAATAGGTAGCCTACTGTTTTCTACCATATTGGTCTTTACAGATATATTAAATTATTCATAATTAAACATGTTGTAAGGTAGAGTAAAAGAAAAATGTAGTAAAAGAAAAGTGACATTGCGTACATGCTGCCATGTCTAAAAATATGCTACTTTTATATGCACATTTAATGCAAATTTTTAGTAATATTGTGCTTTAAAGGAAGTTATTTCAATATTTTTATTACAGATGCAATAATTTGGGGCAATTGGAGATAAAATAACCAAAAAGAAAGGAATTTAGGGTCAAAAAGAGGCATATTGTAAAAGTTGACCTAAAGCCCAAGTGTCAGGATCTAACGCATAATTGCTAATATAAAAAAAGAGTATGGCCTAAGCACCACAGTTAGACACCTAGGCGCCAAAAATGGTTTCTCACCCAAATTCATTGAATTTGGTTGAATTTTGAAAAGGTTCCATAAGTGACTCTTAGAAATTCGGCTATATGTTATATAATAGTGAATTTATTACATAAAAGGGCAGAACAAAGGAGGAAAATAGGAGAGTAAGTGAAAAAGAGTGAATGAAAAGATTGTCTCTAAGAATTATAAGAGGAGAGGGAAAGTGAGAAAATTCTTTTTCATTACATTTCTAAGAGAGAATTGAGTGATATTGTTGGGAGAGAAAGTGATTCAAAGGAACTTCAAAGGATTTTCTTGATGAGGAGATTGAGATAAGTAGTTTGTACTTTAATTATTTTATTGTTTCTTTTTGT